TACTGAACATAGCAAAAATAAACGACATCGGCCATATCTCATGTAGTTAACGGACGTAACAGTGGCCATCTGTAGGCAACACAAAATTAATGTTTCACAGCAATAATTATTTCAGGTTTTTGGGTTTAGTCTGATTTTAAGGACAAACAAGACAAGACAATTTGTGACAACTGCTCGTAATACTGGACTGTCCCAACGTTTTCAGGGCATATGGTTATCGGTGGTTTCAACAAATAAAATGTTGACCTGCTGTTTGCTCCGAAATAAGTCTAATAACTAAAATGATTAGGATGTGTTGACTGGAAACCACTAATTTCTGTACAAATGTACATAATCTATCCAATAGATTACATATGTTGGACTTTCCCATTGGGCCACACCACTTGAATCACAAGGTTTTCACACAGCAACAACCAAAAATAACTTTCTTTGAAAATATGATGACAACAGATGAAGGGAGGCGTGTGGCGCAGTGGATAGTGCGTTGGTGTTCGGATCAGGGGAGCACAGGTTCAAACCCCACTGCAGTCAGCATGTCGTTGTGTCCCTGGGCAAGACACTTCACCCCAAATTGCTCCTGTGGGGAGTGCCCACAGTATTGAGTATGTAAGTCGCTTTGGATAAAAGCGTGTAACATGTAATGTAATGAAGTGAAGACTATTTCTTCACTGAAAGTAAATGTATGTTAACTACAGGAAAGTTACTCCAAGAAAGACAATTCGGTCAATACAAGTCACAACCACGCTAAATGTACTCTACAGTAATGGTCAGATGTGCTGGAACAGCAACAGGTGTTTTCCCTCTGCGGCCTCAGCTGTAAAGGGCCCTGTGTGTACTTTAAGCTAACGCTACGGTTATTTCGGTCAGTGTGGACAGCAGAACGCAGAGCTGGTGTGACAAGTTACTTTGAACTTGGGCAAAACAACATTTGTCACAGTGACATAAAAACACATCGAATCACTATTACTACCACGATAGATCTCTGGGTCACAATATTTGAAAGCTTGTGTGACTTTGAGAACAGCACTTAATGTTTGAGCAGTGATAAGAATACATGTGCAAAGTGCCAGCTGTGGGGAGTTTATCAGTAGTACAAAGTGCTAACCAAGAGAACATGCAGGAGGGCACAATAAAGGAACTGATAAAAGCATGTCATGCAGCCATAACAGATTTTACATTATATTTTTCGAAAGTCTACTTTAACCTTATCACATGTTTAACTTAAATAACAAATGATGTCCTATCTATTACTTTGAGCAAGCAGAAATACAGATGCATAAGAACTAATGATTATTTAGCTGAATGTTAAATGCCAGGAGAATTGCAGCATATGTACTATAACATCTGCCTTTCACAACCGCTAATTTCAGTTGATTTCATTACAACTCAACTCTTTTGCGTAATCATTTTTAGATCCTTCTGTGTTGCACAACATTTCACAAGTGAGCAAACACAACTTCTCTGTGCCATTACTGAAGTCAAATTCACTTTCATAACTACACAAGCATGGGGAGGCCGCTGCCGGTAAACTGGAGAGTAAATATTGAATTTTCCTAGGCGGCCCGGTCATTGTACTTCTGATATGAAGTGGTGGAAAGGACTCAAGGTTATAAGATCAGGACGCCTGCAGACTTCATTGCCATCTAAACCTGAAGCAGGGAACGGTGTGTTCTGTCGTTAATTTAACACGTTTTAAATGCCCACAGAGTTGACTCTACACCCAGTTCTTATGTACATTTTTCAATATTCAAAAACTGTTGACACATGAACTTTGTTGATACTTATTGACAAAGATGCAAAGCAGAAAGCAATTCAGTATTGTGTAAAGCTGGGGGCTTGTGAGAGACTGGTTAAAGGAAACAATTGTGTCAAAATAAAAGTAGCACGATATCCTGACTTTAAGCACCCATCCGAAAAAACTGGCTTCTACATTTCCCATAATGCAACTTGATAGCATTTTCTTGCACCGTCTTCCGTGCTTGATAAATTGCCACATTTGTTAGATCTTAGAAATGAAGGAAGTCTATTGATTATGTTGTTTGTGAGCGTGTACGCCAGTGTAGAGGCCATAGAGTGGAATGTTTTTTTTTGAAAGTCTGAGAAGAAAAACAAATAATAGGAAAAAAAGAGAAGGAAATTAATAGAACAGTTGATTTTTTTCTGGTTTCTATTAAAAACATGGAGTTTATAAAAATGTTTGGAGTCACCAGCTGTTGGTTGACTTTAATGTGCAACCTTAAATATTGGGTAATAACTTAAAAGCTAACCAGATTCAGACATCATTAAAGCCTATTTCATCATTTTACTTATGTGCATAACTTAGCAGTTAAACCACTGACTTGCAGTTTGCTATCACTCACATTATTTGGTCTAGACTTTGTGCCCTGAGACTTGAGACCTAAGTGAGAAGTTAAAATGAAAGAATGCTCCCCCTCATGTTTTCGTAGTCGCCCCGCACCCACTATCCCGAGCCCAGGGCTGAGTGAGGGGCGTGTGGGGCGTGTGGGGGTGGGTGAGTTGAGCTCAGACTCTGTGGCATTCCTGAACTGAGTGCTAGCTGGCTGGCTGCTGTTCCTATTCCCAACTCCACTCCTCCTCTTCTTGGCAAAACACTTCCCCTTTCACTCTAAACTGGTGTGCTGCCAATACACCCACACATACACCCACACATACACACACACATACACAAACACAGATTAAAGAAGTTGTATGCCATGTCCCTCCATCTCACGTGGAAAACAAACTGTACATATTATCATGAATGGATAAGGACTGCAAGTTACTAAATAAATGTTGGTGAAAATAACACAGAAAATGCTGAAGGTCACTGTGGAGGTTTGGCTGGGTTCAACTGCACAACTGAGTGTTGGTATATTGAATTATATGTCACATGCTTGCAATTCATTAGAAAGAACAGAGGTATTTTAAAAAGCAGCCTCTTATAGTATGTTGTAAATGTCTGTTTTGCTACAGACAGCTAATACTGTGTGTGATCGTGGGTCAACCTATCCTCTTCCAGCACATTTGCGAAGTGAATTAGGCCGTTGCAGGAAAAATGTTCTTGCCAACAGGAAGGGATGCCTTTTAAAACATATTTCACATTCTGCATCATCAGTGGTTTGTTTAGAATGAATAAGATAATTGGGTTTTTGGCATGAGTAGCAAGGAAGTAGTAGAAATGATGTTATCTTGTGAGTTATCACTGGAGACTTGCGGGAAAAAGACTACATGCAGGCATCCAGGAAGACATCTTGTTATTCTTTGTAAATCTAGAGATAAAGGTGAGAAAGGTATGTACTGTTCCTGCTTCTCTGCTTTTTGTGTGAAGGTATGTCTGTCTTTATCTCTTCCTGTAAACATGTATAACCCAGAGTAGGGTGTGAATCTCCCTGTGTCTCATGCTTGGATTAACAATCGATAGTTTTGTAAATAAGGGTGCTAATTTTACAATCTATTTCAGTCCGCTGTGCCCTAATTAAACTTGGTATGGAAAATGATGGCATCAAGCAGAGTAAGTGTGTATACGATATGGAGTTATTATCAACTAATTGCAATAATAATGCAATTCTAAGACAAAAGGTAACATTTGTTCATGCTCAATGTGCACAAATAAAAACATTTAACCAAAACGATTTTAGTTTTTATCTATTTTTTAGAAACTAAACAAGTTAAAAAACAATTTATTTTTGCAAGAAATTATACAATAGTTCTTGACACAACTTTGACCGGGTGTGTCGGATTACCGTCAATCAGAAGCATTTTTTTATTATAGTGCCTTTAATCTCATATTTCCTAACCTAACCCATTACTGTAATGCTAATTTAGGTCACATTCTCACCTAATAGTCCTCTTCTTTGGTGCGCACAAGATGAGAGTTTGTTACATTGTTTCATTTTTCAGAAGGTTCGGTTTGCGTTCACACAGGCAAACCTCAAACGGACTCTAAACTGTAAACAAAAGTACAACATATTTTCTTATTTGTTATATATTCTTATATATGTGAAGCACTTAATTGAAAAAACTCTTGAAACTTGAACTTTGTTCATTGCATGTCATTTTATAATTTTTTCAGAAAGCATCTGTGTTCTTCGTAGCTCCATGTTTGTCCTCTGCTGCTCATTTTGTTAGCCACAACTTGCTAACTTCTCCTCCAGTAACCAGAACAGGAAATGACGCGTAAATATTACGCTTCCTTTGTTTTGGTGCGGACTGCGTTCACACCAGTGATGAACCGCTCCAGAGTTCACTAGCAAGCGGACTGCGTTCACACCAACCCAAACGAACCTCACCCAGGGGTTAAACCAGGGGTCAAACTACAGCCCGGGGGCCAAATGCGGCCATTTTGAATCGGCCCTCAGCAAATTAAAAAAGTAGAATGTAATACGGCCCACAAATGAAACTTGAGCTTTTCTTGTATTGTACTTTTAAATATATCTGTAAACATATATTACACAGTAGTGTTCATGTGTTAATAAGCCTAATTTACAATAAATTCAGTCAATTACATTTGAAATATATGTTCTAACAAATCTAAGTAAAAAAACCCAATAACTTGAAATATACCTTTCCGATTTCCTCTTATGATAATCAATCAGGGGCTCCTGTTGTGAGGGATGAGCTGCTAACAAATTAAATGAAACTCTCTGGAGAGCTGGGATGTAGGCTGTTTATTTTTCTTAAAGCAGATTCAAGTATCAAGCATAATTTACCTACTTTTGATTGATTTTGCCAACTTATAACTGAACTAATGAGGCATTATACCTCACCTCTAGTGAGCGGACTGGCCCTTCGAATATTTTTCTGTATGTGGTCCTCGTGAAAAAAGTCATGACACCCCTGGGTTAAACGCTCCAGGGTTCGATTAAACCGTACTAAACAAGGCTGGTGTGAACGCGACCTTAGGCTCTTTCACCCACATTTAATTTGACCAAACTGGGTGGGGCTGTTGTGTATTGTTTGTCCCTGCCTGTAGGCTTCTTCAAAGTCTCAATGTGGGTCACCTGGTGTTTGAGGGGCACGGCGGTACTGTGGGAGCAGAGTGACCCTTGAACCCAGCCAGGCGTCGTACTCCTTCCTGGGCATCTGGACCACGTGCTCTGTGGCAATCTGACAGAGGAGGAAGGGAAACGCAGGAGGGGTAGATTAAATATAGACAGACACAGTCAGAAAGAGATGCATTTTGATGCTGCATAGATGAAAAGTAACCACTGATGGTCACAGAGACATTGACAGATGCTGGACAAAAATGTTACAGTATTTCAAATATTAAGAGCTCCAGTCCTAACTAACACCAAGAAAGTGGATCACATCATTCCAGTTTTGAGGTCATTAGACTGGCTTCCTAACTGTTCAAGAATTAAGTGCAACATACTACTGTTGATTTATAGAGACCCAGTGGTTTAGGGCCAAAATACATTTCAGATCTTCAGCTACATTACATCACATTGCATTTAGCATTATGAACCATCCAGAACTCTCAGGGTTTCTTTCTGTCCTCAGAGTCAAAACTAAACATTGAGAAGCAGCGTCCAGGTATTATGCTCCATTTATCTGGAACAAACTCCCAGAAAAAGGCAAGCACCACTTCTTCTAAATCAAGACTGAAGACTTATCTTTTTGCTGCTGCCTTCTATTACATCAAATAACTAGTATCTTACACTGTACTGTCACTTTTATTCTTGCATTTGAATCCTGTCTTATTCTATTTTAGCTGTTTTATTTGTATTATTTTGGCTTTTGAATGACTGTTTTGATTGACTTCTGTTTTTGATTTGATTTAAATGTTATATTATAATGGGTGCATGTTGCACTATATCTTAATGTTTGTATGTTTTTTTAATTAAAAAGCATTCTGAATTGCCTCAATTTGGACTGTGCTAAATACAAAACGTTGCCTTTCCTTGCCCATTATGTTTGAAAAAATAAAAATAGAAATGAGGCTTTGTTAAAAAAACACTGATGGCGACCAGTATAATTATACGTTGGTGCTCATCGCCACAGCCCTCAGCGCTGAGACAGACATGGAAACAATCCAAGTCCTCTGTGCTCTGTTGAATTCAGGTCTGAGCTTCAGAGTGGGACACACTGCCACACACTGTCCTGAAAAGGAACAAGGTGGGACAGTATTCCCCTCCCCACTGCCCCTTCAAAAACAGTGAACCCCCCTACAGAGCCCCGGTGTGATTTATCAGGCGGCTTCCTGTCATTACACCTTCAGCTATCTGCTCCGGAGTCTGGAAGGATCTAATTGCCCCTCATTTCTGACCGGTAGGGGCGTGTTCAGAGGGTCTGGGGTTCGTGTTGGGAGTGGGTCTCGTCCCTAATTGATGGTTTGGTGGGAGTGGCTGAGAGTTTAACTACCGGGTTTAAAGTTTGGAGGAAGATCAGAAGAGTTGGAAAAATCCCACAACCTATTGTCTATAATTTAACATGTGGAAATTAACCAGGATAATGGTCTCAGGATACCTGCCCTCAAATTACAATGACCATTTTTTATCACACATTTTATACAATTGCCTAAATACAGATGTGCACTATACCCAGCTCAGAAGACAGAAATAGGATTAGGTTTGTCCAGATTTCAGTTGTAATTGTGGCTATTTCAACTAGGAATTTGAACATTGCATACTACAAAATATTACTTTTTAACATACTCTACAAGGCAAGGCAAGTTTATTTATATAGCACCTTTCAACACAAGACAATTCAAAGTGCTTTACAAAAATGAAAGACATTAAGAAAAACATATTATAAAATGGCATTTAAAAACACTCATTTAAAAGCAAAGATAATAACACATGAATAACAAAGGTACATGAATAAAAGTTACAGTGCAGTGTGAAAACCTTTGAATTGAGATCATGCAGTGTTATGTTTCCTCTCCCTATTTCTTTGTAATTTGGACACTTTTTATCACAGGATGATGGCCAAACTGTTTTTTTTTTTTTTGAATGCTTATTTTTTTTGTATCATACATAACTCATTATATATGCTCCCACTCTAAAATCAATGTAACATTTATTCCATAATTAAACCTTTGTGTTTGTTCATAATTTTGTGTACAATGTGGGAAATAAACTATCATTGGTTGCAGCAGTCCCTTGATGTTGGTTAAAAAGTGTGCTAGCTCCCTATACGTGTATTGTGCTTAGTGAATTGGGGGTGAGGAAGTGTTTTGTGTACCTGGACGGCCACACACAGCTCAGGCAGACAGAGCTCCCACGGCTCCAGACCCCCCAGCACCTTCAGCAGGACCTGAGGTGGAACCCTGAGGCTCTGCTGCTCTGCAAAGCCCCTCAGCTTCTCCAGCACCCGGCCCCCCGCTCGCTCCCTGCACACCTCCTGTGGCAGGCTGCTCAGCAGAGAGGACAGCCTGCGAGGAAATGAAACAATCTCAGATCCATCACTGCCACTGTGCTACAACACATCAGAATATGATGGTTTTATGCTCTCTTGTGCACATTTTTAACACATATGCAGACCACATGTGCATGCAGGTCCACAAATGGGACCTCTCCCCAGCCCCAGTAAACCTCTCAACCCCCCCCCCCCCCTCCCAACTCCACATTCCATTTGATAATGTCTTCAACAGGCTGCATACCACATATTGTTACTGTGCTTGTTTTTATTCTTGTTGTCTGGAGCTTCTGACTCTTGGGACAGGCAGGTCACATGGGGAGGAAGGCCCTGGGATTTGGTCACGTGACCCGGGGCTCGATACCCCTGGAGGCCGCTGTTTAACCTCTCCCTGGATGGGGGAAGGAAAGCAAATTGACAAAAAAGAGAAGAAGGAACCTGAATGAGCCTGTGTTATCTTACAATCACCTTATGCTGCATTGGCACCCTGCCTGTATTTGAACTACGCTTAAAAAATTATTAAGCACACAGACTGGTATGACAGAACAAACATGGTTGTTACTCGAGTAGGAGAACCACCCTGAGGGATGTGAAGGTCGCCCAGCTCTCAGTCATCGTGGAGCAAAGGCTCAGTGAGTAATCAAGTAAAAGTATACGACAACATAAAACAGAATAAGGTCACAGCAGTTACTAAATTAATCTCAATGTATTCAAATGCTCAGCAAGGAAGCCCTCAAGTTTTTGTGACAAACAATGATTCAGAGCCATGCAGTATTTAATGGCAGGTTACCATCATGCTGATACTTATGATATTTTTGGAGAACCAATAACGAGAAATAAGTCAGTTGGGATTGGATGATTATCAAACCTGGCTTTGAGCTCCAGGAGGTCTGCGTAGCTCTGAGATATCTCCTCCACTCTTTCCTTAAAGGCAGTTTTGATCTCTCGTAGCCTGGTGGCTTTGTCGTTGATGAGGTGGCTGATGGCAGGACAGCTGGGTGAAGAAAACACAAAGAAAAAAACAATAATAGTGTTGTGTCGATTCATTTATGATGATAATTAAGCTGTATACTGGGCCTGTGTGCCAGATTTTGACTCCCTAACAAGACGGTATTTGTATAGCAAACTACAATAATTTATGAAATGACCCCGTTTTATCGTATTGTATTATAGCATATTGGATTGACTTGATTTGGAAATGAACAGTGTATGAATTATATCTTTTTTTGGTTCAAAACATAGCCCCCAATTTTTAGTTTGACAAAGTTTTATGGGAGGATTCATATTAAACGTGAACACTTTTAAAACATATCTTAGCTCATTGCTGATTTGTGATGATAATATGTATCAAAAACATACACAATAACTAACTTTGTAAAATTGCAATTTTGATATCTGTCTCTTTAGGTACAATGGCCGCAGTGTTTTGAATGGCCTCCATTGTTACTGCCCGAAAAAATGCATTGATCGGTTTCCTGTGTATTGACATGACATCGATAAGCATGTTCTGTATATGAATTTAGAAAATGAATATGAATGGATGAAAAATAACTGCCATTAAATATGTTAATAAATTATGTAAATTATGACAGAATGTTTATGACCATGTCTTAGAAAAAGAGAAAACCTGATCGGTGTTTAAATAAAAAAATAAAAGAAGACCTGCCCTCATTACATTGCATCTGTGTTGAACAAGCATACAAACATTGATATAAACAGAATGTGACATAGGTATAATAATAAAGTACGTCACACACTGTTAGTTTGATAACAATTTAAGTTGTTTTTCTATTGCTGATGCATATGAAGTATGGGTGCAGTTGGAGTTGCACCTCTCGGTTGGAAAGCTCTTTGTGGTCTTAGAGCCGGTTTGGTCATCCGTCTTCAGGGGCTGTGGGTTAGACTCGGGTGGGGTCCAACTGTAAAAGAGGACAGATACAACAAGTAAGACCTGTTTATCAAAGAGACTGTTAAAAGAGGGATAGGTCATGTATTGTTACAGTGGCTTTCTAAAACAGATTGGATACTATAGAATGAGGCCTGAGACATTTCTCTGAGACAGAATAGTTTCTTGGACCAATTTTCCAAATAACACTTAAAAAAACAATCTTTGGGCCGTTGTACTTAGTTAGACTTTTTAATTTGAATTTCTTTTTACTTTTTCTATTTCTTTTGACGTCAATACTTTAAAAAAAAAAGATATTATTTTTAGTATATAGCACCGGTAGCTCTACCAGGTAAGCTATACAGTAGCCCCTCTTCTTTTGCCATCTTTAAGGTCCATTTTTGGCACAAAATATACATCTGTGGCTGGAGGCTAATTGTCAGATTTTTCTTGTTGCTTCTTTTGACTTTTATATATTTTATGTACGAAAATGTAATGCAGCACAACTGAAATGCTGTATACAGTACCTTTACTACAAATATGGTTACATTTACAACCATTCGAAGTATAAATGTTGATGAAGACATTGTTTTAACAACCCCATAATGACTGAAAGCTGTCTGAGAGAAACAAGTCCTCTGGAGCATGTAATCAGTCAATGAATGATGGTAACCATGTGATCACCTTTAACAGCTACGGTAAATATCAGGCCGAAAGCACCAGAGAAATGATCCTGATAACTTGCCCTTTTGTTCCCTCGGCCACAAAGGCTAACCCTTTACAGCAAATTCCTCACATAGTCTTTCAGATCAGTGCCTTAAAAACTCTGAATAGGCCAGAAGAGGAATGAAGATGAAGGGGACTAAAAATAGGACCACAAATTGAAGGGCTGTCACCACAGAGCGAGGGAGAGGAGGACAGGTTGAGCTGGCCTCTCTAGAGTTCCTTTTCCCCACTTCTGTTCACATAACCATTGCAGGGTTCACATGGATATTGGTGCTGGTCATAATGGCTTGGACTTATTTATGATTCTCTACTGTGAGACTAGGAAATAGAGATTTGGCTACTGTTACAGTTACTGCAAGGGCTTATATCATAAAGGAAAAAGCAGCAGTCAGCGGTAGAAGACCTATGGCAGTAGGCTGAAAATGATACATAGTTGTTATCTTTGACACCATGTTTATCTTTCCAGCTGCTGAAATATATATATTTATTTTAAATGTTATATTCATGAGATAAAACATGAATATAAAATATTTTATTTTATCATGAGGTTTATGCTAAAATATGCTCATGCTAAAAGGTTGAAAAAGTACTTCGTTTTCATCATATTTAGTCATCCTTATCCTGTTTTAATGTGCATTTTAGTTTCATCTTGGTTAAAGCAGACATTTAGTCATTAGATAATATTCAACATTTCCTTCAATTTATTCATTTATCATTTTGTAGTTTTAGTCAAACTGTTATCCCCACAGTATCTTATCATTATCTGAACACATTTGACACAGGTTGAATTTTTTTTAAAGGATTATTGTTTCTTAGTGTCCTTGAGTGTAAGTACAGATTTAAGAAAAATATCCTGGTTTACAATAACATTTTAGTCTCATCTCTCAACAATAAACTAACACAGTTATTGTTTAAAGATGTTGGTGACGAATTATAGCTGAACTTACTTGCTGGTTTTTGAGCTTTGGCTCTCTTTCTTGCCTTTCTGGTGGACATCTGACAGTGTGCAAAGATCTAGAGACACAAAAACAACAGAGATCTTTAATTTAATTTTGTTCCTACTCCATCTTCCTCAGTGCTTTTTCACAGCATGTTATTATAGATCTGTAACTCTCTCAGCTCAAATGTTCAAACTGTGAAAAAGACATTACTTTTCATGTTTTTGCAGTCGGAGGACAGCAGGGTTTCTGAGACAGAAGTGTCCTTAAGTCAGGTCTATACACTTGAATTCTGAAAATAAATCTTGGCCTTATTCACTGCATTCCCCGCATGTAAGCATTCTGCCAACCTGCCACAATACACACATTTACATAATGTATTTATCAATGTGTGACAGTAATGGGTTCATGCTATACAGGTAGAGCAGCTGTCAGTTTCCTGATGGCCTGAGATGTGCTCAGATTCTCACTTCTTTTAAAAGCAGCTTTTACATATTTTTGTATGTTTTCAAAACGAGTATTGCATCCTTTGTAAGATAATTAATGTGAGATTTTTGTGAGTACCCATTATTATTTTATTTCTGTCTTTCTTCCCCTTTTAATTTTCACCTTAAATTAAACATTTTAGTATTTTAAAATGTAGACTTTATGTCCTGCCCCACATAAATCTGAAAGACCCACATACAAACAGTAAGATATACATTCCTCTTTATCATATTTATTCAAAAAGTTCATGTTATTGGTTGCATTTGAAACAGTTTTACATCCAATCCCATCCCCAGCCACAGCCGTGGTTTTGACATAAAATCTTGAGTCATATAGGTCCGAGACAAAACCGAGTACAAATCCTGTCAAAATCTTTCAAATGTAATCATGTTCACAGCTATTGGGATGGAGTAGACATTGCATGGTTCTAAGATAAGATGATATAAGACAAACTTTATTGAGAACATCTCTTCAGACAGGGCTCTATGTCATTCACACAGCACATTTCAGACACATTTAACCAGACAGAAATGTAAAACACGGCTAAAACTAGACAGGAACAGTGTAAACAGGTATTAAACCTGTATTTTTGCAAAGTGTTATCTGTATTATGTTTTCCTGCTTCTTCATTAGCTGGTAGTCTAATATGCTTAAGTAATTTTGAGTCTGTCAAGGATGCAAATATGTGAGTAAAATATGTAAGAGGGTTGTAGACATAACTAGGCCAAATAGTTATGCCGTTTTTTTATTTATAATCGAACAGCTCCCCTTGGTGTCCACACACTGTTACTACACCATGAAATTGAGAGAAGTTGATCCTGTATGTAATCCGGCTGAAGCATCAGCTTATAGTTTTATTCATAGAAGGCAGACACGGTGAGGACACAATAAGTCTTCATGAAGTTTCCCAAGAGTAGAAAGCATTCATTAAAATGTTAAATACCAGCCTAAATGATTCAACTTCTCTATGAGCTGTGACTAAATTAATCACAGTGTGGCAAATCGGGGAGATGAGACGCCTATTAAAAAAATGTATAGCCTGATTTCTCATGAGGAAGAGCTATAAAAACCTGCAGCAGACACTGTAAAAGGACATCACTTTTGCAAATTGGCTGATTTCAGATTGAATACATTGAGTTCTTATTTTAATTATCCCAAATGAGTGCGGAGGATTAACTTTCTGTTCTGGTAAAAAAAAAAAAACTGCTGTGGGAGAGGCATTGAAATGCAAAGATAAACCTCCTTATTATTCAAAGTTGTACAATTCCCTTTTTTAAATCAAAGACTTTGAAACTAGGCTTCATTTTTTACGCTAAACTAGAACTCATTGTGCAGATTTACAAGGCAAAACAATGGACTGTGGGCAGAGCTGCACATCTCCAGTGGCCAACTTCTGGATTTGAGAAATAACTCTGGGGATAAGCCTGAAAAAGCAGTTAATTGCTTTAAACCAATGGCGGTGAATCAATCCTTTGATATTTTTGGACTCCTTTTATGATTAGAGCAGGAGGGAGGAGAGAGTCAAATGTGAGAGAAATGGAGAAGCAAAAGAAGACAAAACAACCCGACAATGACTCAGGCAGCGGTCGCTAGATATCAGGAGGTGAGGATATGAGGGGAGGGGAGGGTGACTATTCTCTGCTATGAAGTCTGGAGCAGTGCACTCTGGGAATCAGTACCGGGCACAAGAGGCCTCAGCCTGGGCAGAAAGGTTCTGATCACTCAGTGAGAAGTGTACTGAATAGACCTGCCTCTTATTTTGGTTTCCATTTCAGTCTCAGCGGTTGGTGTGTGTGTGTGTGTGTGTGTGTGTGTGTGTGTGTGTGTGTGTGTGTGTGTGTGTGTGTGTGTGTGTGTGTGTGTGTGTGTGTGTGTGTGTGTGTGTGTGTGTGTGTGTGTGTGTGTGTGTGTGTGTGTGTGTGTGTGTGCACAGACAACAGCAATAGTCTGTTTTGGTCATGTCTCACCCACTTTACTGGACAAGACAAGCTGTTCCTGTTTCCAGCATTTATGCTAACTGAGCTAAGTTATGCTAACCGGCTGCGTGCTGGAGGTTCATACCTACACAACAAACATTTATGAGTAGTATCAATCTTCTTAACCAACTATTGGCAAGAAACCAAAGATTTCAAACAATGTCAATCTATTCCTATCGAATCATATTTCGATATTCTGCTTGGGAGTTGGCAAAAAGCAAAATGTATGCAAATGTTGCTCTGTGTCTGCAATTGTTGGCTAACATGTTAGCCTTTACAAGATTTTAAGGTCAGTGTTTTATTATAGTTTTTTGGTTGCCCTCAAGTTGCCATCTATTAAGTGATACAACTTTACTAGTCAAACTTTTTGTAGTGAAAAGTATGCCACATTCCTCATTTCACAACAACATGAAATATAGTTTCTACTTAGTTCTTTTTAATAACTTAAAAAATCCAAGAAATGTATAAAGCTGTATAATAATTTTGTGGCACATTTGTGTTGTATAATTTAGAGTTTTATCTATTTTTGCTTTGTATGTTTGTTTGTTTTTATGTGTGTGTGTGTGTGTGTGTGTGTGTGTGTGTGTGTGTGTGTGTGTGTGTGTGTGTGTGTGTGTGTGTGTGTGTGTGTGTGTGTGTGTGTGTGTGTGTGTTCCTATCTTCCTAGTGAAAGTGTTTTCATGTAGAGAGATTGTTTTGGATGTTTTATTTTCTTGTAAGTTAAGTAAAGATTCACATTGGCTGTAGCGTGACTCTGCCTTCAGATAGAATTTGGGAAGTTAAGAAGTTCAGGATAGAGATATTTATATAAATAAAGTTAAATACGATAATAAATAAGATAAATGAATAAGAGTAAGGATCAGAAAAAGAATAAGAGAGGATTTTAGAGGTGAGGGTTTAAGTTACTTAGGAACTAAGGAATGAATGCAGGCCTTATAAGCATGGAAAGACAAGCATTAGAATGATTGTGCTTTATTGCACACTGAAAAACTGAAACATGGCCTTTAAATAAATGTTTTATGTCAACAGGTTGCCCACAATTGTATAAGGTTAGTTGAAAGCAATAATATTAAGTTGAACCTATTATTATATTATTTAAGAGTAATATTATCGCTTTCAACTAACCCAATACAGTTATGTGAAATCTGTTTACATAATACATTTATTGAAGTTAACGTTTCAAAAATGTTTCAGTGTAACTTAACACATGTCTCAGAGTCATGTTCTTGTCTTTTACACCTTCCGTCCATACATGGTCTTAGAGACTCTTCTTTATAATACGACACCCTTTGAGGAACCTGTTTGCTTTCACATGCTTGCCTGTAAAGTTTGGTTTGTTTATTGTATTTGATATGGAAACCACAGTAGCATTCTGTTGTAAGCTATATGTATGCACAAGTTCATGATGCACTTTTGATTCTACTACAACTCTTAAATGAGATCATTTACGTCCAACATCAGGAGGTAACCAGTGATGGGTTAAATACTTTTAGTGACACTGTACTGTGTAACAGGGACATTATTGAACATTTTGTAAATAGAAATTCAACAAAAAATGTGCAAAAGAACATCATCTAGTTTAAGATTATATTCTGACTACATTACCACTTCATAATGAAAAATGAATTTTGTGCATAATTAGAGAATGGAGTAGTGGTGCACTCCGATGGCTAACATTAGTATTACAACAACAAACACTATAGCCAAAAGAAAAAATGTACCTTTCAAAAGTGAGAAATAACTTAGTACATTGACTCAATTACAGTCCTACATATTTGAAGTACTTGTACTTTACTTTAGTATTTCCATTTCATGCTACTTTATACTGCTACTACAACTTGTACTGTAAGCAAATATTGTACTTTTAACTCACTACATTTAGTTGCCAAGATGAATTACTTTGCAGGTTAATTTCTTTGATGAAATGTACTTTTATGGATAAAGAAACATGGCAGTATAAAAAGCCATTAAAGTTAGCAGAAAGCAGAAATATAAAATATATATTATTTTGAAAGTGGCATCTGCATTGAGAGTACTTTTAGGTTTGGTACTATAAGTATACTTTGATGCTAATTATTTTGTAATTTAACTTTTAAAGTAACATTTTGAATGCCAGACTTCTTCTTGTCAGAGGGTATTATTACTTAACCTTCAGTCAAATATATGAATACTTGTGTAAATCTAGAACTCACAGTCTGAGGGAGATTGGCCTGTCTCCTGTGCTCCTGAAGACTCTGTGTCCTCCCCTACGTCCCGCAGCAGAGAGGACACACTGCTGCTGCCCACAGTGGGGGGGGTGACGGCTGAGAGGGAGGCGGCACTCATGAAGGGAGACTTCCTGTGTGAGTGGAGGCGAGCCGAGGAGCTGCGAGGGCACCGGGGAGGAGCTCTGCAAGGCTTTTAGAGAGGAAAAGAGAAGGAGTTTAATAAAATAGTAGTGTACATTAACAAAGGACAGCATGGTTTTAGTTTATCACCTAAAGCACAAGTAGACCAACCCCTGTTTATAGTGGTCACAACAGAGTTCAGACTTTTAACCCATAGAGGTCAGTACAACAAAGCTTATCTGCCATACAAGATAACAGTAGTGTATGTTATAGTATTTAGCGATGAGGTTCAGTAATGTATATTTCTGGTGTACCCACTTTATCTCATCCTGCTTCATTTTAACAGCTGAGTTGTTTTCAAAGTGTGAAAAAAACATATTTGCAATGCAAATGCAATCTAGCCAGGGCCTCAATAACGCTTTTATTATTATTTAAAGGGCCCATGTCATGCTTTTCCGGTTATTACCCGTCCCCTTGTGTGTTATGAAGGTTTTTATGCATGTAAACGGTCTGCAGAGTCACAAACCCTCAAAGTACACCCTGTAGCGAGTAAAACTCTAACACAGAAAATACCTCCCCAAAACGCCTCGTTGGAGATACGTCATTGTCCATTTGATTCTTCCATTTCGTTCCGAGTACGGCATGATGTCAACCCGTACCCGGAACGAAATGGACCAATCCGTGGAGCCGTTACGTTACGTCCGCGGAGCCGTTACGTTAAGCCACCGCTGATTGGTCCAAATTGACCAATCCACGGACTTCCTCACACACACATCTGTGTGCAGGGAGCAGGCAGCTCAGCTGATTTCTCCTCCCTGGCTGCAGGCTGATAACAGACAGTTGGGATCGCGGCGAAATTCTCTCTGCAGACCCATTCTCTCTGCAGACCCATTCTCTCTGCAGACCCATTCTCTCTGCAGACCCATTCTCACAGCGTTTATCAACCTTTTTCTTACTCAATATCAAGCCACACTTATTGTTTTTACTTCGGCTGTGAGTTTGTGTGTGCTCAGGATGAGTTTGGCTGTGTTTCGCTGTGTATTCTAAACAAGGAAACAACACCTCCACGGAGCTCAGCGCGATTCACAACGTCCTGACCAATCAGAGCACTGTGCTCACAGGGAGGGTGGGGGCTGGAGCTATTGGAGCTACAACGAGCCGTTAAAGGCAGAGAGTGAAATTCAATGAATACACATACTATACAGAGATGCTGTATGAGAAACCAATGTGAGTTTGGAAAAATGCACAATATAAATCTATTCTAGTAGACCTCAACAATGGAATTATGATCAGTGGAAATGGCCATGACATGGGCCCTTTAAATTACAAGGATGTCACTGTATACATTTACTGATGAATGGGAAATGATGTACATCACTGACCTTTGACTATATAATGCTAATGCTGGTAGATAATATTGAATGTATGATAACATTGAAAATGTTCTTTGACAAATTGATATTATAGTTTATTCTTTTTTTATATATTATTCACAATATTGGAAGATTCCTTAGTACATTTCCTCTTAAATTGAGTTCAATATTTGATATGGTAACATGAAGGTGACTCAATATTAGTGTCTTTATATAAAGATACTTTGCCTCTTTCTAACTTTTAAAATGACAACTAATGTTATCTGAATAAGTTCAAGGTGATCACCAGTCTAACACATTTCTAGTCCTCTCATTGGTTTATTCAGAGAGCTCCTTTGTGTATTTATATGCAAGATCCACGTTGCTGCTCAATAAATATTTTGTCAGTAAGCAATATTGTGTGGACGTTTCTTTCATCGTTTACTAGGTTATTTGTTCCCTACACTTCACAGGTTGCCTTTTCAAACCACCTATGAAAATGGTCACTTTCAGTCACAGGTTAGACACAGTATAGCTATAGTTTTGTAGGCATGTATCACCATGGCTAGCACATAACGTTCTCACACAACACCTCTGTAGGAGCTTTAGCCTAATTCTGAAGCCACTGTGATGTTTTAACTCCCAGGGATGACTTGGCTGACGCGCTTTACTGTGTTAATACGATACTGGTTGTGTTGTTGTTTTAATGATGAATCGGTAGGCTTGTATTCAGGTGCGGAATAATACAATCCATTTACTGTATTGTTGTTGTGCATAATAAAGTCAATTTCCATTAATTACCGTAACAAAAAATGATATGCGGTATTCACACTTGCGGTACTGCGGTCAAAAACCATTTGCCCTTCTGGGGTCAGACACACCCAATCCTGTGACAACACACACCTTAATACCTGTGCCATAGGGAATAGTACAGCGACAACCTATGGCACACACAGTGAATCACACACAATTCCAAAAATCTCAACCCAAACCTGAACTTGCATTAAAATGGCTCTTACAACCTCTACTGTCTTTCATTCTCATCCTCGAGGCTACTGGTAATAATTGCCACTTTTCTCCATGTGTGAAAGGTCAGCACAGAATGGAGACCCTTGGTATCAGTTTTGAGAGGCTGATCAAAACGTGCCGGTAACAACTGATGGTTGTTTTGCTTCTAATATTTTCACCATGCTAGAAATATCTCAGTGCGATGTCTAGCCATTAGTGTTTGGCCGGCTATTTTGAGAAAAAGTAAAGCAATCGTGTAACAAAAGCTGAGAAATTGTGAAATGTTTATTTGTTAGTAAATTATAATTTGATTTCCTCAAAGCCCCAAGCTATATCTTCAATTTATGTTGGCTCCTTGTGCAGTCATCTGATTCTCATAAGAAAAATGCAAACGCACACATTCACACACAGACAGGCTGACAGGCGGAGGCTTGGCACACACCCATAGGTAGACCCATCTCTCAACTGAGGACGACATATAAGCAACAGAAAGGAGCCTGAAATGCCCCCCCCCCCCCCCCCCACTCCACTCCACTCCTCTCCCCTATGCCCTTCCCTCTCTCCCGCCTGTCTGTCAGAGAAGACCCAGGCCTTAAGTGTGTGTGACGCTCCCTTCAGCCTAATTATCAGGGTGGAGGGGAGGACAATACTTCAGCTCTCCCAATGTCCTCTGCCGCCACACACTGCCCTTCCTTAAGGATAAAGTGTGTGTGCATTTTTGAGTCAGTGGATGTAAGCATGCATGTTTGACTGCTTAAGTCAATGTTCCTGTGCAACATGATTTAAGGTTTAGTCTACAAAGTAGTGTAGTGCTGAGGCATGCAGGGTATATACACCCGACTTGTGTGTGTGTGTGTGTGTGTGTGTGTGTGTGTGTGTGTGTGTGTGTGTGTGTGTGCACAGTGCTGTATTTCAAACTCCAACATTCTGTTGATTCATGGTCATCCTGAACAATGGGAAAAGGTATACTGTCCACTGCTAAAAGTATGTGAACATACATGCATTCCACCAATATGTGATTGCTGTACATGTTATTCCATTACCAAAGGTGGGAACCATTTGACCATAAATTAATATGGGTATTGTGTTTGAAATGATTTATTCATTTCTATATTTTTTCAAATATTGACACATTTAATTTTTTTTATTGATTTGTATCATATTTTATTTATTTACATAATCATTTATATACATTTGTCTCTATATATATTTTTTTCAAATATGTACTTTCATTTATCTTAAGTGTTACTTGCTGCAAGGAAGTATATCAATGTTTATCAAAAATAAGGGGGCGGGCTTAAGGCTCTGATTGGTGAATTAATAGTGTTGTGTTTTACACAAATGATTAATAAATATACAAAATTCTAAATTCGCAAGTATATATATATATATAGATATATATATATATATATATATATATATAGATGCATAAACCAATAGTAATTTAATTTGTATCAGTTCATTTACATTTCTGAATATTTTTTTGATGTTAATAATAAAACAAATATTTAGATATTCATTATTATTTGTAGCATTTCATTAGTTATGTATGTGTACTGTACATTTAGCTTTGGTCCTTAAACCAGGCTTTTGTAATGTAAATACAATTTAATCCGACATTTAAAATAAATGATTATTATGACAATAATAAAATGAAGTGATATAAAAAAAAATAGTAAACAAGAGTGTTATACCTTGGAGGAAACAAACTGCTCCCATTTGTTCTCAATGGCTCTTTCTTTTTTCAGCATCTTTATCGTGGTTCTGCCTCGGCCAGGGTCTCTGTGAATTGAAAATAATTGCCGGTGTGAAACATTCATCACTCCGCTGACCTTCTGCGACTCACCACTAGTCGAAAGCAGCCTTCCAGGCAGAGACAGCTCCAGAGTCGCTCGGGCCATTATCAAAATCATAATTCATCTTATTCTAAAAACTGTGCAGTGTTTTAGATTGATGCCCAAGATCAGAGCCGTCTGCCTGGTGGGAAGCCCAGCAGTGTCGCAACCTTGTGATAATGTTTCATTTCAACCTCTCCTTGTCTTCCTGTACAGTAATACCTCAGCTGCATCATTTGGCCCATAAAGCTTAAGACTTTCTGGGAAATTGGATTTGAAGCTGAGTGAAGGCCCTGGAGGGTAACATGACGCCGTTTGGGTGCAAAACAAAACCTCTCTTTGTAGCTCTTTTATTCCCTTTCCTTCCGCTTTTCTTCTTCTTTTTCATTTTCCCATCAATTATTCAAGCTTTACAGTAGTGTGCAATAATATTCCTTTACTACATTCTACAAGGAGCTATTGAGACCAAGCAGTCGCTTTTAACATTTATGAATTAATCTATTCTCCTAGTCCTGCTCTCCTCTGACACTAGAGAGAGGCCATAAAGATCATAAAAGGATACAAAAAAAAGAATCAAAAGACGGAAATTTGGAATAAAACGCCACTGAGGAATTAAAACGGACTACAGATGCAATTTAACAGCAATAGCGAGGGTAAAACATCCGCGTTTGAGCACCAAACGGCTGCTGCTTCTGCACTTTTTCTCCATTTCCTCACCCTCAACACCCTGTGGTGGGTCAATATCACAGGAGCTGAGACCTGGAGGGTGGGGACGAAGATGGAAGAATGCAATCTCCTCGCTAAGCCTGGACCCCCTACGGAGATTTGGACTTTATATTTCATCCAGCACTGTCAGCTCGCTCCTGGCCTGCAGCTCCGGATCAGCAGCCCTTCATCCCCGGCTCTACAGTATAGATGCTACGTCTCTTCAGGTGGCTCGTTTAAAAAAACAGCACAGTCCTGACAGGAGTTGCTCATTGGTCAGCGTCGCAATGAGCCGATCGCTGATGATGTCATTCATGATGCTGTGTTTTAGCCTCTGTATTGAAATTGCAGGCAGTGTAATCACTACGAAGATGTGAATGACATTTCATGTATTATGTATTGATGACGGTCCCTGACTTTTGTGTCTCCATCATATTCAAAACAATATTCAGGAAAAAAATCACATCAGATGTACTGTTGTGGCAGTATCAATAAATCATGCATCTACATATATATTAAAGGTCACCTATTATGCAAAATCCACTTTTTCATGTCTTCTATACATCAACATGTGTCCCCTCTGTGTAAAGAGATTCTGAACGTTTCAGGAACAAAGATTCTCTCTCTTTTTGGCCTGATCCATTTATATAAAAACCTGTCTGAAAATGAGCTGATCAGATTTTGGCCACTTTATGATGTCATAATGTTTTTTTGGCTTGTGTAACCATTAGTCAATCACCAACCAAGGTACCACCCCCCCCACCTTATCACCTGAATCTCCTCCTAGAGCACTATTGTGATCTTTTTAACCACATATCTCTCAGAGGGGCGTGGGGAGTGGCTCCTTATTTTCATCCAAAGTAACAGACAGAGAATCAGCACTTTTGAAACAGAGCTGAAACAGAGGGGTTTATGGGATGCTACAATGATCTGTTTGGTGTTTTGAGGCAAACACTTCAGAGACATATGTCCGAGACCTATAATATATTGATGAAAAAGAGTATAATAGGAGACCTTTAATGCCAAACAAGTTCAATTTTGTTAGGAAAAATTAGTTTATACGTTTCAAACAGGTGGGTGTAATGAGGTGTATTTCCAAGATTACAAAATTGTCCTCCGGAAGCTAAAAAAGGAAACTTCTTGTTCATGTATTTACAGTGTGTGGGTGTTGAGAATCTTTGACAAAAGGATTACTAACCCGGGGTCCCAGCAGGCGGTGAGGGGGCCCACTCTGCCAGAGCGATCCAGAGTCAGGGCCTCCAGGAGCCAACTGAGACAGCAGAGCTGGCGGTAGATCAGCTTACTGCAGCAGCACACACAGACAGGAGCTTCAACGTCTATCAGAGGTTTGTTTGTCCAAAAGTACCCATATGCTTTTGTATTAGAGTAATTCAATATACAGCAAGCAAAAACATATTCTTTATAACAAATTGTCAAATTCATATTTCCACGACTTATATAATAACACATTCCATTTGTATTCAGGCCAAATATATTCAATATATTTGTATTTCTTTGTTTCAAATATGCATTTCAATAAACATCCTGTTTTACAGAACAACTGAAGCTATTTGAAAAATGACATGAATAGTTCATTTGGAGGTAGGGTTGGGGAGAGATAAAGGGGGGGGGGGGGGTATGATATAAAGGTCCAGCCACCAGGGCGCCCTCAACCTAATTTTCACTAAACTATAACCTGACCCAGTAGACTGACTTTAAAGAAATGCTTTCGGTTTCATGGCAAAGAATAACGCAGCGTCCACACGGCGGCGTGCGTTGAAGCTTGCCGGCGGGCGTGTCTGAAACTCGACCAACAACCAATCACATGAATCTCCCGCCCCGGACACACAAGCACGCGGTTTGATTGGCTAGAGCTTGTACTGGCATATGATTTGATTGGCTGACGCTTCCGTCGAAGCTTCAAAAGTTGGACATTGCTCTACTTTTGAAGCGAAGCGACGGAACCACAATGCAGTTCGGCAAAGCGTGACGTCACCCCATTCAAAGTTGGGCAGAAGCGTTGAAGCTTCAACACACGCCGCCGTGTGGACGGGCCGTAAGTTCTTGGTCTTGTTATATTCATGCTGTATGTAAAAATAAATGTTTGAACTATGAACAAAACACATCCAAGTCCAGAAATAAAAAAAGACTAACTTTTAGAAGACAAAGGTCAACTTGTAGAATGTGAATTGTAAAGCTTCATAGCTAATAAATAACATAGGTACTTCGTGAATGTTTTACAGCATATTCCACTATTTTAGGAGAGTGGGACACATGATGCTGGCTTGGATCACAATAAGAACACATAAGGAGAGGTTATAATGAAGCATGATAGCTCAGTGTGTTTTTAAGGAACAGAGCTTCATGTTGTAGTTGACCCAAGCTTGCAACTCACAAGCAAATGGTTTAACAACTGTAACACTTTTTCTGAATGATGAAAAATGATTTTAAAATAATAAAAAAAATATTGCTGACTGCTTTTGTCTTGTGACACAAATGCATTTGATATTTTATTTTCTGGCAAAAAGGCCAATGCTCCACACTCATAGCATTTCAAATGTACTCCTGGGCAGAGTGCTTTGCTGAAGAGCACCTTAGCAGAAATTCTTGTTTTAGTGTCATACAAAATTAAAACAAAGAATGAAGATGTTATTTTGTACACAATGTCTAAATTATGTTCTAGAATGTGCAGCTTATTCAGGTTCAAGTGTTTCATAAAATACATTTAGGGGGCCCTATTATGCTTTTAGGTTTATCTCTTTCCTCTAGTGTGTTATATATGTTTTTGTGCATGTAAATGTTCTGCAAAGGCTAAAATCCCAAATCTCCCTCCAGAGAGAGTTTCTCTCCCACATCCGTTGTATTCCTTTGTTTACTTCCGTAACATTGTGACATTACTACGCAACACCTGCCGTTCTATTGGCTAACGTTCCAACTCATTGTACATGATAGGCTAAGGGGCGGGACATTTCTAAGCAGTTGAGCAATCACAATAGAGTCGGCCAGCTAACCAATCAGAGCAGACTGGGCTCTGGTTTCAGACAGAGGGTGAAAAGAGGTGCTGCAGCACAGGCAGTATGAGAAAAATAAAGACCTTTTTGAACATTAAAGCATGTAAAAAAAAAGTCACAGTAAAGGTACAACATACAAATATGAACCTGGAAATGAGTAGAATATGGCCCCTTTAATCAGGATTAATTGGATTTTAGTGGATTCATGTTTAATGGAATGGATTGCACTGTAGGAGAGCAATAGAGCAATTCTCCTGCACTTTATATTTCATAGCTGCTACATTGTACTGCCATGTGGTAAATGCTATGCTGCTCATGCTCTTTCTGCATATCATGTATTTATTTTAGGGCTGTCAAGTTAACGCGTTAATAACGCGTTAACGCAAAAAAAAATTAACGCCACTAATTATTTAAACGCGATTAACGCATGTGTATTTTTTGTCCTCGGCCGCCGTAGTTTCAGAGCGCATCGAGTGTAAAATACCATCGACAAGCTGATGCTGACAGCCTCGCTCCTGCCGCCCGCTTGTGGCAGACCACACTTCCACGCTCACCGGCAGGCCCGGACTGGCCATCGGGAGGACCGGGAGGGAGTGTGTATGTGTGGCGCGACTCGCGCGAGCGAGGCACACCTTACGTGTTGTTGTTGTTAGCATCTGGTGCTAGCTAGCTGCGCTAACGGATTTAAGGAGCTGTTTCAATGACATTTCGCCGACAACTGCGCCGAGCACTTGACTTTATGCAGGTAGCCAGACAGTGGGACATTGTACGAAAAGTCAGCACACTCAGCACGGATCGTACGCGCAACATGATTGCAGCGTCCAGGCAGCTCCCATTCGAGCATATATGCCTTGAGCTGCACATAGCTCCAACGATTCATAACAGTGTCTCCACACACACACACACACACACACACACACACACACACACACACACACACACACACACACACACACACACACACACACACACACACACACACACACACACACACACACACACACACACACACACACACACACACACACACACACACACACACACACACACACACACACACACACACACACACACACACACACACACACACACACACACACACACACCACACACACACACACACACACACACACACACACACACACCACACACACACACACACACACACACACACACAGTATTATTGTATGAAAGAGGTTCCAGGTTGAATTGAGGCGAATATTTGTAATGTTCAGAGGTTGTTGTGTTTAATATTCATGAGAATATTTGTAATTGTTCAAATGATAATAAACAAACATATAAAGCATATTTGTCCACTCATATGTTGATAAGAGTATTAAAAACTTGAAAGATATCCCTCTAAGGTACATTTAGAACAGATAAAAAATGTGCGATTAATTTGCGATTAATCGCGATTAACTATGGACAATCATGCGATTAATCGCGATTAAATATTTTAATCGACTGACAGCCCTAATTTATTTTGCTATGTATATAAATGTCATGTTCTTAAATGTTGTATGTGAGGGACTACGGATGGAAACTAGCTCAAAGCTAAAATCTGGCATGTTTACGTTTTTAAAGCATTATTTGTTTTAAATGTTCATCAATGTGCACTGTCCCTCGTCAAATAAACGATTAAATGAAAAATGAAATGAGATGGCGGCGGGCAGTTCGGGCGCAGTGGCAGCGGTCTATCTATGTATGGTTGTTCTGAATCTCGGGCCTCTGTTTGGCTACACCACTCATCTTGCCCCCTTGGTAAAACAACACGCGGGGGATACATCATTATTTGCACCAGCAACATGGCTGAATATTGCAATATCAAGCACTTCGGCCATGGTCGGCATGTCATCTACAGTACATTCATCTGGCACTCCTGGCAGACTCTCTCCAACACAAAAAAGGGACACAAACGAAAAAAAGAAGAATATTGGGATATTGGCTATGCTGTGTCTCTTGCTCTCGGGAGATATCCACCCGTGTCCGGGTCCCGGCGTCGTTTCCATCGACCTGACAGCTGACGGCCCGGCCGCTGAGCTCCACACGCCGCCGGCCGGTTTCCAAAGAGGCTGGCTAGCTGAACAGCTAGCACCACCAGCGGGTCTCTGCGGTCTCGCGCTGACGGCTGCCGACCTAGCAGCAGGACCTCTACCCACACCGTCGGAGGACTGCGGGTCCGCGCCGAAGGCTGGTAGCCGAGTAGCAGAGATCCACACACAACCATCTAACTTCAGAAGAGGCCGGATAGCTCCCACACCATCGGAGAACTGCGGGTCCGCGCTGGGGGCTAGCGGCCTAGCAGCGTAGATTCACGCATCACCGGCTGGCTTCAGACGAGGCAAGCTAGCTGAACAGCTAGCTCTGCCGACGGGTCTCTGTGGTCTCGCACTGACGGCTACTGGCCTAGCAGCAGGATCCATCTCCACACCATCGGAGGACTGGGGGCCGCACCGAGGGCTAAAGGCATAGCAGCGGAGATCCACGCATCACCGGCTGGCTTCAGACGAGGCAAGCTAGCTGAACAGCTAGCTCTGCCGGAGGACTGTGAGTCCGCGCCGATGGCTAGCAGCCTAGCAACAGAGAACCACAAACCAACAGCTAGCTCTGTCTGCTCCACTGTCAACAACTGCACCGAGGTAAAGCCTAGAAATCCGGTATTTAAAAAACACTGTTACACAAAAATGTTTCAAACAGTGAATCAAGCAAAAATAGTGTGGGATCCTCGGTGCAAGCCGAAGGGACTATTCAGTGGACATTTACATTTCCTCAGCATTTGCAATAAACATGAATCGCTAGAACATCTCCTCCTTGAGTCCAATATTGACTGTTTGGGAATATCTGAATCTTGGCTAAAACAGTCGTCACCATCAACTATTGTATCTATGTCAGGATATAATGTGTTTAGGAAGGACAGACTGCAGGGAAAAGGAGGTGTTGCTTTATTAGAGGAATACCATTACTTGTAGGGAGATTGCTCTTCCAGCTAATATTGAGTTTGATTGTGTTGGTGTGGAAATCACACTATCTGAGGAAATGTCCCTCACCATGATTTGCCTGTATCGACAACCCACCGCTAAGGTGGATTTCTATGATCAGGTAAAACTCATGCTGAATTCCTGTGACTCCAACAAAGGGCTAATCATTTTAGGAGACTTTAACATAAACTGGAATGACAAACAAAATAGAAAGAACTTAAAACGGATCACGGATAAACACAACTTAATACAACTAATGGATCAACCGACTAGAATAACCAAAACCTCTAAGACTATGATAGATTTATTATTTA